AAACCCAAAGAACAAGAGAGCAAGCCCAAAAGGGACTCAGACTCTGAGGGGGTAGCCCTACAGAATGAAAATTCCTCCAAAGGCACTTTGGAGGCCTCTCCTGCTCCAAATGTCCCCCTATTTTCCTTCTTCCTTATCAGCAATCTAGATCCCAGCATCCAGAGTTGCCCTCTAGTTACTAGCCTTGCTAATCCTCGTGGTGGAGCTGCTTACCAGCTTCCTACAGAATATATGTTCCCCCTCCATGATGTATAGTTAAGTATAACACTTACAACTAGGTAAAAAAAAAATTACCCAGAAGAAAAAAAAAACTTGACTCTGCTCCAGGCCAGACTAAAGTAAACCTTGACTCCTTGAATGGGCAGCTAGTTCTGAATACCCATTTCTTTGGCCAGTCTGGCCGAGACATCTGGAACAAAAAAAAATTATAAAAATTAAACATGAAAGCACAAGCCCCCTCGCCTGAGCTACTAAGCACAGCCTTCTTGGCTTTCAATAATCTGAACCAAGCCAGAGAGGAACAGTAAATAGAGAAGGAAAGGCCAAACTTTTGACTACAATAATGTGACAGCAGCCACTTCGGGAAAAACTTGCTCAAAACCCCAAACCAAAAGGGAGCTTGCTTTATTAGTGGAAAACCAAGCCACTGGAAAACAGATGCCCAGAGGCCTCCATTGAATGGGCTATGCCCAAATGTGGACAAACAGGCTATTGGAAATGGACTTGCCCCTAACTCTGAAGGGAGGACAAGTACAAACCCCAAGGTCTCAACCATGTCCAATTAAAGGTGACGGAGGTGCTTGGTAGCTCCCCAGTGGTTCATTGCTGTAACAGGGAGGACTGCAGGTTATTCTGAAAGTGGCAGGAAAGCTTATTCCCCTCTTAGTTGCAACCTTCTCGGTTTTGCTTTCCTGCACTAGAGCCTTATCTACCAAAACCTCATTAGTGACTGGAGTCAACAGGAAGCCTCAGGTACATTACTTCTCATAGCCTCTTACTTGCATCTAAAAAAAAAAAATTATCTCTAAAGTCATAAATTATTAATACCAAAATGCCCAATCCCCTTGTTAGAAAAGAACTTTCTCAAGGCATTAGGTGCCATCCTGATCTTGCCAGAACAGAAGAAAAACTCTTTGGTAATGCCTGCAGGCCCAAATAGCCATTTAAAAGGAAAAGAGGGGCAACCCCCTCGGGTTGCCTCCCTTGGGCCCCCTCCCACTGTGGGAGTTTTTCTGTCCTCTCAATAAACCCTGCTTTAAAAAATAAAATGAAGCCGGGCTCGGTGGCTCAGTCTGTAATCCCATGCCTTTGGGAGGCTGAGGTGAGTGGATTGCCTGAGCCCGCGGGTTCGAGACCTGCCTGGGCAACTTGGCGAGACCTCATCTCTACAATAAATCAAAAATTAGCCGGGCGTGGTAGCGTGCGCCTGTAATTCCAGCTACTTGGAAGGCTGAGGCGGAAGGATCGCCGGAGCCCAGCAGGTCAAGGCTGCGGTGGCCGGGAGCGGCCACTGCACTCCAGTCTGGGCAACAGAGTGAGACTCCAACTCAAAAAATAATAATAATAATAAAATAAAATAAAATAAAATGAAAGGGTACTCCTCATAGCAAAAACTCCCTTAACAAACGTCCAACAGAAATCCTACACCTCTTAGAAACTGTGCAACAGCCCAAGCAGTTGCTGTCATACACTGTAATGAATATCAAAGAAACTACAAGGCCGGGCCAGTGGCTCACACCTATAATCCCAGCACTCTGGGAGGCTAAGGCAAGAGGATTGCCTGAACCCATGGGTTCAAGATCAGTCCGGGCAACTTGGAGAGACCTGGACTCTACAATAAATCAAAAAAATCAGCCGGGCATGGTAGCACACACCTGTAGTTCCAACTATTTGGAAGGCTGAGGTGGAAGGATCGCCTGAGCCCAGCAGGTCGAGGCTGTGGTGGCCGGAAATGTGCCACTGCCCTCCAGCCTGGGTAACAGAGTGAGACTCCAAATCAAAAAAAAAAAAGAAGCCGGGCTTGGTAGCTCAGCCTGCAATCCCACGACTTGGGAGGCTGAGGTGAGTGGATTGCCTGAGCCCACGGGTTCGAGATCCGCCTGGGCAACTTGATGAGACCGCATCTCTACAATAAATCAAAAGAAAATGAGCCAGGTGTGGTAGTGCACACCTGTAGTTCCAGCTACTTGGAAGGCTGAGGCGGAAGGATCGCCGGAGCCCCAGC